AAGATTTTAAGATCCTTTTGGTGGCGGCGCGGGATGACCAACCTATGCCACGATTTTAACGTTGACCAGGGATGACCTGTCGGGTGAGCAAAATTTCCAAAGCAGTTGATTACCAATTCATGCAGTAAGAGCAAATTACTGCAGTGCATTACTAGCGCTTCGTAAACAACCGCTACTGCATGGAAAGAGCAAACCATTCGAAATAATTGGGACGCGGAGTCTAATGTTTCTGAAATTAATGAATAGGAGACAAGTTTTGGCGGACTGTTGGATATTCATTTCATTTTCAAAAGTTTCTATAAACGTCTATATGCGAACTTTAATAGATCAATCGTCAAAAATATGTAAGCATACCGTCTATTTGCATTTTAAGTACTATGACATCAGGAAGGCTAATACCGCACACTGGAGGAAACTGAAAACATGAGTTTCGATCCATCATCTAACAGCAATCATGCGAGCGAAGTTTAGAAATGGCTCATAGTGGTCACCGAAAAATAGACGGAACACGGCCATAAGTAGGTCCTAAGTTATTCAGAAAGTCGTCGGAGGTAGTTTGCTATGTCCATCGCCAGGCCAATGAATTAAATGTTGCTTCCCTTGATCTAAAATCTTCGTCTTTCCAGTGGAAACTGCGAAGTCGACTCAAAACATAGCCAGGCATGGGCCGTTAAGACATTGTAGTGGTTACTGGAGTCGGGATAAGGGAATGAATAAGAAAGTGGGTCGAGCTCTCCAGATTCGTAGCCACATATCGTCGTGCGTAGAAAAGTACATATAGGTTGAATCAAGTGTACCGAATAATTAAGGCGTGACCACAGTCGTACTGTGATCAATAGGCGTAACCTGGGCGACAGGAAAGCAAATGTTTGCAGTGTCTTGTCTGAAGACACCTTTAGTGAAACGATAGCAATAGCAATTAAAAGCAAAATTATTGGCACACAAACGTAAAAAGTAGCTACTACCAGATAGAGAAATTATTTGGCAAAAGGATACACTGGATCCGATAGTTGATGCAGCACGGTAGACGATATGAGCACTATCAGTATAAATATCGCGTTCACGTAAAAAATGGAGAACGTGGTAGACTCGTAATCAGCCACATCCTTTGTCTTCTGCCGTATCCTAGGCGGAGGGTAAGAATACAGCTCACTACTTACATATCATCTTTTTCTTTCTTTGATACTTTCTTGTCGTTGCCAACTTTTTTTGTTATCTCCTGGGTTATGGCATCAGTTCGAGTAATAGCGATTCTTAAGACATAATTGACCCGCTTAATGGACGCTTACCTTTCCATAAGAGGGCCCTTTGAGTTGGTGTACGCAAGGGAAATCAAGTAAGTTGAAGCCGCCGTGAATATTGCAAATAAAATTAGGTTGGGTATGAGGTCCATTTCGTGTATTCGCCAATAGAGCCCTGAAAAAGCAACTTTTTGGGACAGAAAGATAAATTACATATGGGTGTTAGGCAGACAAGTAATGCGTTTCCATAAATGAGTTTGTTGGACTTCGTAGAGGCTGTCCGTCCGTACTGTTCTAAAAGAAGTTCGTCCTCCTTCGTAAGCTTCATCGGGCAGGCTGTCGTCGACTCACACCAAATGCTGAAACGTAACTACAAGTTGATTGGCCCAAACATGCACCCGTGGCGAGTAGAATTGACACGTCAAGGTTTCCAGATACAAGATTCGTTATGTACCTCTTATTCTGTTCCCGGATAACGTATTCGCCCTTTTCATAAAGAGATACATGCATTGAAAATCAGACTGATCGATGTTCTCAACTGAGTTATTGCCTATATGCTTGCACAATTTGCCCCAAATTGTTTAGCGTACTGCTTATAGACTGTTTAGACTGGTTAAGTAGTCAATTTCATAAGGTATCCGCACGGATTGAAACACAAAAATGCAATAAAATGTGATTAACGAGGACTTAGATGAGGTTTTTGTGTAAGATAAAACGCAATTGGCCTGTAAATCCGACGACTACTTAATTATTTGCTTTTTTCCATAACTACCCTAGCAATCGACTATAAAGCAAGCACAAAAGTGCTCGCCATAAATCTACAGAGGTGGTGAAAACAGTACAGCAAGCGCTTT